CTGGTTTGGTGTAGATAATAAAGTTAATGGCTGCTGCAACCCTGACCCTGCCTCCAGTGTCCTCCCTGAGCCCGGGTCGAACATAAGGCAAATTAAAGTGGCCTCACTGCGGGACCGGAGGCGGCGCCCAGGAGGTGGGGCTCGGGGCTTGTGCACCATCCCCCCATGTGCTGTTCTCTCCCTGCCGTTCTCACCAGGGTTTGTCCTTGCTCAGACCTCGGGCTCCGCCTTCCTGCCGGCTCTCGCAGCTGTCATCGGGGTGCGGGTGCATGCCATAGTGGTGTCTGTTGGGGAATGTTAGGGAACGCTGATACTGGTTAAGAATGTTGGTGTTTGGTGGGGAATTTTGGTGTTTTATGGAGAATGATGGTGCTTGTTAGTGAATCATTGTGTTTATTAGAGAATGATGGTATTTCTTTCCCGGCAGAATGTTGATGTTTTATGGAGAATGATAATGTTTGCAGGAGAATTATGGTGTTTATTGGATAATGATGGTCTTTGTTAGGGAATATTGGGGAATGTTGATACTAAGAATTTGGTTTTTTGGTGGGAATTTTGGTGTTTGTTGGAGAAATATGGTGTTTGTTGGATAATGATAGTGCCCCTCGCAGAACGCTGCTATTTGTTGGTGTTTGCTGGTCGTGGAGAGTGTTAGGTCAGTGTGATCTGAGCTTTAGTGAATTCTCACCCTAGCTGGGACTCTTCTGTTTGTCCATCAGAGTGCAGAGAGTCCGGAGGAGCCTCGGCTTGAGGCGGTCAGAGACAATAATGTGGAGCTGGTTCAGGACATCCTGAGGGAGCTGAGTCCGTTCACACACCGCAGCAATACGGCCGCCGAGCTTTCGAACATCCTGAACCAGCCACACTTCCAGGTATAACCGCCTCAGATCAAACACCTACTTTCCCTCAGCGCTCATCATGACTGAGGTTTTTTTGTGACTTTACAATAAGTTACCTTATAGTGTTATTCAAACATTATATATAATACAGAATACTATCTGCACTCTCGGTTAAGATGGGTAATGATATTTTTAATAGTTTAGTCTCATTTTTGAAAACAATAAAAAAAACTTCATTAAAAATAATTATTAACATTTGCATTTAGTACTAAATGAAACCTCCTTTGCCAACATAACAGCATTCTAGAACAGAAGCAGCACTTCTATAATGCTTGATGAGACTGAATGAATACAGAGTGCCCAGATCCAGATCCTCCAGGGTCCTAGCTCCTCTCCTCTGGACTCTCCTTCCTCCAGGAGTGGATTTCGTGATTCTGGGGCTCTAGACGGGAGTGGGACCCCCTGGATGCACGTTTTTAAAGTAGTTGATGTTCAGAGCTCCTGAGTGGCGCAACCATCTACACTGCAAATAGTGATATCAGGACAAGTGAAATCATTTCAGATCTAGTCAATATATCTAAAAGCTCCAGGTACTTCATGTTGTCCATGATGCCATGTGGCCTAACAGCCCCAAAACGTCACAGAGCGTCCATCTTACTTAACAGGGGGATGAGGTTCTGTTTTGGGGGCTTTTCTGTAACACTCAGCTGGACGTAAGTGAAATATGACTGGGGGGATTGGTAAATTAGATTTTTGTCCAAACTGTCACTGTACAGAGTCTTATCACTGGTGTGTCTTGATGTGGTTCACAGTCTCTCCTGGAGACCCACGACTCTGTGGCGTCACAGACGTGTGAGACTCCGCCCCCCAGCCCACGGGCCTTCGTGGAGCCCACCGTCAGTCTCCCACCTGTCCCAGCTGATGCTGTGCGTATGGTGGGCATCCGCAAAGTGGCCGGAGAACATCTGGTAGGAGTTCTGGAACGTATCTGTCTGTGTGCATGTCTGTCTGATACTCTTGGTTCTCTTGCTTGTGACCACATGATGCAAACATTATTACATAATACTTTTATGTTAGATCCACCCCTTAGACTGCAAGATTACTGTTATAGATTACTATCAATGATTCAGTGTCTGCTATTAATTATTTAGTGTCTACTATGAATTATTCAGTATCTACTATGAATTATTTAGTATTTCCTATGAATTATTCAGTATCTACTATGAATTATTCAATATCTTTTATGAATTATTCAGTATCTACTATGAATTATTCAATATCTTTTATGAATTATTCAGTATCTACTAAGAATTATTTAGTATCTCCTATGAATTACTCAGTATCTACTATGAATTATTTAGTATCTATGAATTATTCAGTATCTTTTATGAATTACTCAGTATCTACTATGAATTATTCAGTATCTACTATGAATTATTCTGTAACTATTTTGAATGATTCAGTATCTACTATGAATTATTTAGTATTTCCTATGAATTACTCAATATCTACTATGAATTATTTAGTATTTCCTATGAATTACTCAGTATCTACTATGAATTACTCAGTATCTACTATGAATTATTCAGAATCTACTATGAATTATTTAGTATCTACTATGAATTATTCAGTATCTACTATGAATTATTCTGTAACTATTTTGAATTATTCAGTATCTACTATGAATTATTTAGTATCTACTATGAATTATTCTGTAACTATTTTGAATTATTCAGTATCTACTATGAATTATTTAGTATCTACTATGAATTATTTAGTATCTACTATGAATTATTCTGTAACTATTTTGAATTATTCAGTATCTACTATGAATTATTTAGTATCTACTATGAATTATTTAGTATCTACTATGAATTATTCTGTAACTATTTTGAATTATTCAGTATCTACTATGAATTATTCTGTAACTATTTTGAATTATTCAGTATCTACTGTGTATCTACCAAGTTGTAGTTGATTCTTAGTAACTCCAGTAGATGACCTTGTGTGGCTCTGAGTGGTCAGTATGTGCGGTTTTCTTCAGGGTGTGACGTTTCGTGTGGAGAACGGAGAGTTGGTGATTGCGCGGATCCTCCACGGTGGAATGATTGACCAGCAGGGTCTCCTGCACGTGGGGGATATTATAAAGGAAGTGAACGGTAAAGACGTTGGTGATGACCCACGGGTTCTGCAGGAGATGCTGCAGGAGGCCAGCGGCAGCGTGGTGCTCAAAATCCTCCCCAGCTACCAGGAGCCCCATCCGCCCAGACAGGTAACAGACACACTGAAGACACGGCATAGCAGATCATTTTTCTCCAGTTCTAACATTTTTCTTATCCCTTAGAATTAAGTGGGCTATTTTTGTTAATGTGCCTTCAAGACTGATGTATGTAAATGAGCTCTGCTCTGATGAGCTGCCCTGTATATTGTGCCTCTTTTAAAAGCAGTCCAGTTTGAAGTGTGGTATAAACTGTTAAGTTGGGCCTGAAATGTTCAGTTGTGTGTGGAAAACAAAAAGCTTTAGCCACTCCTTTTAGATGTGTGGATTCTTTGGGAGCTGCAATGATCTGTTTGCTTCCCAACAGCCAGAAACAGCACAACGTTTAATCTTTCACACCATTAATTCTGCTGCAGACTGTCTGCATGAACAACACGCCATATCACTTCAGCGAGAATGGGTGGGGCTAAACTGCTGTAGGCTGAATGGGTGGGGCTAAACTGCTATAGGCTGAATGGGTGGGGCTAAACTGCTGTAGACTGACTGGGGCTAAACTGCTGCAAGCTGAATGGGTGGGGCTAAACTGCTGTAGGCTGAATGGGTGGGGCTAAACTGCTGTAGACTGACTGGAGCTAAACTGCTACAGGCTGAATGGGTGGAGCTAAACTACTGTAGGCTGAATGGGTGGGGCTAAACAGCTATAGGCTGAATAGGCGGAGCTAAACTGCTGTAGGCTGAATGGGTGGGGCTAAACAGCTATAGGCTGAATAGGCGGAGCTAAACTACTGTATATGGAAATATGTTCGTGGTTGTGATGTCATAACCAAGAGGAGTTGAAAACAGGCTGTTTTTATGGCTTAATTTCCATAGATGGACCGTATGAACCTGAGAGTGAACATTTTGAAACTCTCACTCTTTCTGGGCTCATTCTCACTGCATGGAGGTGCAGGTTGCACATTTCAAGGTGGAAAACAGTGCAATCATACAGCCAGCCGGTCAGTACTAGAGTGGTCAGTAGCTAGACATGCAATTTGCGTTAATGCTTGCAGAGCTGCTTTTCAGTCTGGCGCTTTGGCGTCTCTGTCTGGCAGTAAGACACAGTGTTTGGTTAATGAGGCTTCAGAAACTCGCCGAGAGACGAGAGGACAGGGACAGGAAGCGTATGATGTCGCCTGTAGTGTGTGTACCGCTTCCCACTCCCTGCTGCTTTCTCGTCCTGGTTGCCATGGAGACGGAGCGGAGAGCTCCCAGCATCCCTGTGCTGTGAGATCCAGCACTGGTTGTATCGCTGGTGGGCGGATGGGCTGAGGGAAGCTGAACTGCGTCACAGGCCACGTCACTGAGAGCATCCCTGTGCAGCCTTCAGAGGAGCTGGAGCTTTATCACTGACAGCCAGACCTACTGTTACACGGGGGACATCGCACACAGACTCGCCTCATCATTTTTGAACATCTTTTGCCTTTGAATAGTAAGAATAATGAGCTGAATCATCAGTCTGATAGCACAGTTTGTGTGTTCGTGACGTAAGCTGCCCATCAAAAGCACCTTTGCTTAGCAGATTGTTTTTAAATGAGTGTTTTCTTTGTTGCTTTGCTGTAACTTAACAGATTAAAGCTGTTAGTTCCATCTTTTTCTTGTAAAACTGAAGGAACAGCAGATAAAAGCCAAAGGCCACTCGTTGTATCCCCTTTGTTGTGATGACGGCGGTCAAACCTTTCAGATGGTTAAAGCACATTTAGACCACACACACACACACACACAGACACACACACACACACATCATCTAAACCGCTTATCCTTCTGGGTCGCGGTGGGGCGCTGGAGCCTATCCCAGCTGTCATTGGGCGGAAGGCAGGATACACCCTGGACAGGTCGCCAGTCCATCGCAGGGCACATTTAGACCAGTAGAGTTTAAATATGTGGTTTTATCAGTGGAGAGTCATGACCGTTGGAGCTAGGCCTTCAGTTTGTCCTATAAATGTCAAAACCTTTTCAAAAAATGAGAAAACAAACCTACCGTGCTATGCTGATTTCTGCTAGCCCCCCTATGCAATTTCCAATAGTATGTTAGCGCTAAGCTAACACTGGTGCACAGGAACATCTTGTTGACAGTTCTAGATTAAACGCAGATTTTTTAAGCTGGTAAAAGTCATTCCATGTGTTTTATTTGAAGCTTCTAACAGACGCTAACGAATATTTGAGCTTGTAAGTATCGGTTTTACAGTGATTCCTTCAGTAAAGAGTTCTGGCTTAGAGCTGCTGCCGCTGTTTTCCATTCCTAACAACTACCTACCTGGAACCTGCTTAGACTACAGCTCATAGTCAGTGACGGATCTAGAACTTCCGGAAGGGCTAGAATGATGCTTTTTTCCTCACAAAGTTGGTGCCACCCAGCTCTTGAAGTCCTAATACAAGAGAGCTTGCTTGTCTGCCTAGATACCACAGAGAAAACAATCCTGATTGGACAGTTTTCCGTTGGCCGTTTCAAGACTTTAACTCTTTCGTTTCAAAGGAAACTAAAATAACAATGAATTTAAAGTATTACAGCTATACTTACAGTTGAAATAAAACAAGCATGATGATCCTCTCAAATAAAAAGTGTTCGCTCCTTTGTGATAAACTCAACTTTGATCGTTTCTACAAAAATCAAGATGTCTCCACAGTTTATGATGTGTGTTCTCTTATCTTGTCTTGTAATAACTGAAGCATCTTTTTCTGCAGGTCTTTGTGAAGTGCCATTTTGATTATGATCCGGCCAATGACAACCTGGTCCCCTGTAAGGAGGCGGGGCTTCAGTTCTGTACCGGAGACATCCTGCAGATTGTCAACCAGGAGGACGTCAACTGGTGGCAGGTACAGCCGACCAAATGAGGAGGACCATAGTCTCAGCAACAGACGCTCTGGAACAACTGAAATTTGGGGAAGGACCAAACTTTCCCATGGCCAGTCAATCATTATGCTCTCTGCCTCATTTTCTAAGCCCTCTAATCACTACTGAGCAACTGTTGCTATCTGCAATTGCCTCAAGCCTTTAGCACATTATCATCATGAAAGCGTTTTACGCTGAAGATCCAGCTCTGGTCAAAAGCCGTAACTGGGAAGCTGCAGAAGTGAGACTCTGGCCCCAAAAGAGTGGGGTTTGTCATTTTCTACCCATTCCAATGGTAGAAATATAAGCCATTCTTTTTCCATAAACACTTTTCATGCTTGCTTCGGCAGTATGCTTTAGCCTAGGATGATCAGGTTTAGGTTTAAGTTTGCTGTGTTGTTTTTCCTCCTCTTTTTTCATCTGTACATCTTAGCTGTCTGATTTTATGCAAGTGGATTATCTTATATCTAATGTCCTCTGAGCCATCTCCTTTAGGCTGGGGCCACACTACGCGGTTTTGTGCTTAATTGCAAGCCCGATTTGCCCATTGCGACATATTTTCCCACTCTGAAGCGATTTTCCAGGTCGGGAGCTCATTCAGAAGTGACTGACGGTGCTGATGATCTGTAGTGTGAGAGGAGAAACGAGTGAATCTTCAGCCCTCCGGTCGAACTCTGAATGATTGAGACCCTCTGATATTATCAAACATGTTTGATATGTACGACTCAAAACGTTCACAAGTCCTGTAGCGTGAGAAGCTCAGAGATTTACTCAACGAGTGATTCAAACAGCCAATCAGAGCGTAGAAACAGGATGTGCAGGCACGCTGTCTGAACAGTGGAGCAGAGACAGAAGAGCTGTATGTAAAACACAGGCAGATAAGAGATATCATGTTTATAGTGTTGGATCCACTCCTCCGGCTCTCGCTGTGATGTCAGCGTTTCTCACCACATATTCATCCCCAGTTGTGCTTTCGCTGTGCATAAAAGCACAAACAGGTCCAGTGAGTTCAGCTCTGTTTGTGTCATGTGATCTGAGGAGATCTGGGAGTTTGAGTTTTTACTCGTAGCCCAAACTCGTGATGCGTGTTATTCTCTCTCTTTGCCCTGTCGTCTAGTCTGAGTGCCTCACGACAAAAAGACGAGAAATTCTGTGACAAACTGAAGTTCGTGATGCTCTGTTTTAGAAATGTACTAGGATTCTAAGTGGTGTAGGATGAGCCCAGCCTTAGATGCTCATAAGAGAAAATGTGTAAGGCAGCTGAGGAGTGTTTGGGTAGTTCTTGTGCGAATGTTAGGGACAGAAGGTCAGTGAGATCTGTGAGAACAGCTGATGTTGGGAAGACACAGCTGTAACTGGCCGGTTTTTTCAAGATTGGAAGGGTGGAAGAGTTAAAGTGACAGTAGGGGCACAAAAGTAAAGAGTGGACTAATAAATACTGATAGATCTGCTATTTAGTTGTTGAGGTTTCTGTGTCATTTCTGTGTTTTCCTGAAGGCTCAGCGTGTGGAGGGAGGGAGCGCAGGACTGATCCCCAGTCAGCTTCTGGAGGAGAAGAGGAAAGCGTTCGTAAAGAGAGACGTGGAGCTCCCGCCAGCAGGTTTACCCTGAGTCCATACACTGCACACTACATCAGTTCATCACATGGCTTTATTCCTTCTATTCTGACTTCAGGCTGGCGCTCTGCTGTAAATGCTGTTCTTAAAATGCATGTCTAATGTTTGGGTCAGAAAATGACCCCCCAAAAAATAAATTAAGTGTGACCTAATTACTAGTTCCAGTAAATATATGAGTCCGACTGAAGGGGGTGCTGTGTTTCTCAGGGACGCTGTGCAGCGGAATTGGGAACAAGAAGAAGAAGAAAATGATGTATTTGACCACCAAAAATGCAGGTTTGAGTTTCCACCGCTTTTTACAGATTATCCAAACTGCCTAAGGCCTGATTCACACATACTGCTTCCGTGTGGCGTAAGCGAGGCAGAAAGTCTTGCTTTTCATTACGGTGCCCATGTTAACTGGTCAGGCTGCGCATGCGAAGCAGCAGAGTCTCGGACGCTGCACTGAAGCGGCGCCGTATTTAGAGAATACACGCGGCAAAATACAGTGAAATAAGCCATGAAAAATCAAGAAAAAAACTGAACAGAAAACCAAATACAAACTCAAAAGTGCTATTTTTTATTTAATTTAATTCATGATGAAATACTAGTTAAACAAACAGTTTTCCTGGTTGGTCGTCCAGGCTTGAAACTTTTTCCTAATCAGAAGTCAGAAAGCTGTTGAGGATAAACAAATATACTGTGCACTTTCATAAATTATATGTTCATTGAGCAGAGTGACTGATGTGACTATTTATCCGTCTGGAAAAGGAACGTCTGTGTAACTTTCTCGCTGCTCAACAAGTGGCTTCACACTGTGTTCAGTGTGGAAGCAGCTTAACTCTGGAACAAACACCCTGAATCTGATGCTGGTGGCTGAATTTGGACTTTCAGATTAGCCTGAGATTTGATCTGATCTGCCAAATATTAGCCCTTCATTGCAGATCTCATTTATTAATGACCTACGATCGTTTTATCTCAATATTTTGATCAGATTAATGAGCTATTTTCTGAAAAATACTGAGCTCATTTTTCTAAATAATTATTTAATTGTTCACCCCACCCACCCCTTCATTTCTTTCTTTTCTCAGAATTTGACAGGCATGAGCTGCTGATCTATGAGGAGGTGGCGCGGGTGCCGCCGTTTCGGAGGAAAACGCTGGTTCTGATTGGAGCTCAGGGAGTGGGCCGGCGCAGCCTGAAGAACAAACTGCTGGTGTCTGATCCGCAACACTATGGCACCACCATTCCCTGTGAGTACAAACGTACTATACTTACAGGCTCCACACAACCTCCGTACAACCATACACCCTCCTCATAACCTCCACACAACCTCCTCATAACCTCCACACAACCTCCTACACAACCTCCACACAACCTCATACAACCACACAACCTCCTCATAACCTCTATACAATCTCCACACAATCTCTATACAACCCCCACACAACCTCAACACAACCCCCATACAACCTCCACACAACCTCCACACAGCCTCCATGCAACCACACAGCTTCATACAACCACACAACCTTCATACAACCACACAACCTCCATACTACCATACAGCCTCCTCATAATCTCCACACAATCTCCACACAACCTCCATACAACCACACAACCTTCTTTGAACCATACAACCTCAATATAACCTCCACACGACCTCCATACTACCACAGAACATCCATACAATGTCCACACAACCTCCATCACACAACTTTTATGCAACCAAAAAAACCTCCTCATAACCTCCACACAACTCCACACAATCTCCACATAGCCTCCATGCAACCACACAGCTTCATACAACCACACAGCTTCATACAACCACACAACCTCCTCATAACCTCTATACAATCTCCACACAACTCTCTATACAACCTCAACACAACCCCAACAGAACCTCCATACAACCACACAACCTTCATACAGCCATACAACCTCCTCATAACCTCCACACAGTCTCCACACAACCTCCATACAACCTCCACACAACCTCCATACAGCCTTCTCACAACCTCCACACACCATTCCCTGTTAGTACAAACACTACACTTACAAGAATTTGACATAATACCTTGAAATAGTGACTTATTTGCTATTTTTTATTTTTATCATTTTGATTTTGTGTTTTTAAGGTGAAATAATGAGTAATTTAATAAAACAAGTGTTTTCAGGATAAGTTGATATTTTAATTAAAAAAATCCACCTTTTCTGCCTCAGACACCTCCAGGAAGCCCAAATCAGGTGAGAGGGAGAATATGATGTACGCCTTCACGTCCAGAAGCAAGATGGACGCAGATATTAAAGCCGGTCGTTACCTGGAGCACGGAGAGTACGACGGAAACCTCTACGGCACCAAGATCGACTCCATCCACGAGGTGGTGGAGGCCGGACGCATCTGCATCCTGGACGTCAACCCGCAGGTAAGAGCGTCCACACAGGGTCAGTGAAGTGTTCTGTCATGCTGTATGGTGTTCATATGGTAGATGCAGTCATCATACAGATTGTAATTACATTACAGAAAGCGTAGGGGGCGATGCTGCTTCTCTTTCTTAATTGTGGGTGTACTGTTTCAGGCCTTGAAGGTCCTCAGGACGTCTGAGTTCCTGCCTTACGTGGTGTTCATCGAGGCCCCTGAGTTTGAGGTCCTGAAGGCCATGAACAGGTCAGGCATTGAGTCCGGCGTGGTCACCAAGCAGCTAACGGTAAGAGGCTCAGACCAGGCAGTGGCTACGTAACTCAAACGTTCTGTAGTGAGCAGAGCTGTTATCATTCTAGCTATGCTAATGCTAACCAGCTCCACTGTCCCAGTTAGCAGCACTGTTTTATTTATCAGTTGTTAGATGGTTTGACATTTACTGACCGATGGCTTGAAAATGGTTCAGTTTTGATTTTATTAAATGTTATTATGTGACACTGAGTAAGGCAGGGGTGTCAAACTCAACCACTAATAGGGTCATATTAAAAAATCTCAACAAATCTGTGGTCCAGCTGTGCTTTTATTTTTTTTTTACTTCATATTTTGACATGACCTCAACTGGCCAGTGTTTATTCAAAATATGCCAAAACTACAATGGCAAAAAACAGACACTGAATTCTTAAACGATTGAAAAATGATTTTAAACAAAACAAAGTGTTTTATTTACAACAATAGACTAAGAATAACGGTTAAACCTCTTTAAACATTCACCTGAACTGGACACCTGACTTTTATTTTTTTTATTTAATTTTTTTTTGTGGTGCTGTCCCATAGATCGTTGCTGGGGAGGGGTTGGGAGCACACATTATGTTGCAGTGCATGCTGGGAACTGTAGTGCAGTTCATGGTGAAATGGGCTAATATTAATAGGGAATTTAAATAATTTTGTGGGCTGGATAGGATTGTGCAGCGGGCCTGACTTGAGTATGGCATGGAGGTGTTTTTTATTTAGAGGGGTTTTTTTTTCTGGTAGTTTTTCTGCTTTATTTTATTTATTTATTTATTTATTTATTTATTTATATATTTAGGCACATACTGTCTTTTTCTAAATGTTATGCTTTTATCACTGTACTTAAATTACCTTTGTAACTATGTGAGATTTCCACCTAAATGAAAGGTGCATTATAAATAAAATGCATTATTATTATTAGTAGTAGTAGTAGTGGTAGTAGTATATCTGTCAAATACTACTGCAGTATATGGGATTTATACATATAAAAAGTCAAATATTGACATTTAAGAATTACATTTTTTACATTTAATATGTAACTTTTTTAAATAGTTTTAATTGTCTTTTTCCTTCTGATAAAGAAATTGAGAATTATAAACCATAAAAACACTCCCAGTGTAACCCACATATGTGAAAGCCCCAAGCAAAGCAACAACAGCTCTGTCTGTATCATGACAGTGAATGTTTACACTGACTTTATATTGGTAGACTAACTACATCAGTACATACTGTTAACCTAGATTAGCTGTCGTTCTGTCAGTTGTGCGGAAATGAAGTTCTTATAATCAGTTTAATCGTAATTACACTGTTCCACCACTAGGGGTTTGTGCATACCTATGGTTAAGAGTTTAGAATGTGCTCACGTTCAAATGATGTGCTTTTGTTTTCATGGTTAAACTGTTTACATGCCAAAAACATTACACTGCTGAAAGGGTTAACAAAGCCGTCCTAATGTTCCTTACCTGCAGGATGCGGAGCTGAATCGGATAGTGGAGGAGAGCAGCCGGATTAAGAGAGCGTACAAACACTACTTTGACCTCACCATCGTAAACGACAACCTGGACGGAACGTACCGCAGCCTGAAGGCGTCTATGAAGAAACTCAGTGGCGAGCAGCAGTGGGTACCGGTCACCTGGGTGTTCTAGACACAAAAAAACATCATTCATCATGCAATTTGGTTCCTTCACAGAGAGGAATATTTGAATTTATTAGCTGAGCGTTTGGAGATTTCACAGGTTCAGGAGCTCTGGTGCTGGGTGTGTGGGTGTGGTTTCTGCTCTCCCTGCTCATACACTACTGATGCTCACACACTGTATGTGTTTGTTGAGCAGCAGAATGTCACAAACATCATTGTTATATGGTTTACAGTTCATTTCAGTTTTGTTTTGAAATAGGAGGGCTGGGTAAAAACATCCTGAACGTTGCTCTCGCAGACTCAGTCTGGCATTACAGCAGATATTTAAAGCTCTATTGGAGCTGGATTAGTTTTAACAAAGGAGGTTGTGCATTGTAATATGTGCCATTTGATTGGTCGATTTGTTTAGGATGAAGTATCTGATTTAATTTCCCCAGATTCCCACTGATAGCCCAGATTGAAAAATCATAGCCCGGATATTTATGTCAGTTTTACACCACAATATGTGTTTAACAACAACACTCCACATAGCTGTGCCTGTTAGCCACGTTGCAGGAGGCCATTCAAACTGGATTAAAACCACTCCACAATTATTACCGTCAGACTGTAAAAACTACACACACTGCAGATTCATACTGGATTAAAATCACTCCACAATTATTACCGTCAGACTGTAAAACTACACACACTGCAGATTCATACTGGATTAAAATCACTCCACAATTATTACCGTCAGACTGTAAAACTACACACACTGCAGATTCATACTGGATTAAAATCGCTCCACAATTATTACCGTCAGACTGTAAAAACTACACACACTGCAGATTCATACTGGATTAACATCGCTCCACAATTATTACTGTCAGACTGTAAAACTACACACACTGCAGATTCATACTGGATTAAAATCGCTCCACAATTATTACCATCAGACTGTAAAACTACACACTGCAGATTCATACTGGATTAACAGCTGTGACTCTAATAACACTGCAGATTCATCACTACATGGTCATTACTCTCAGACTGTAAACAAAAAACATATTGTAGATTAAAACTGGATTAAAAGCAGAGATCTTTATTGTAATATCTCACATTATAGTGTCTCTTCAGGTAGAACTAATCCAGCTCCACAAGAGCCAAATGCAAAAACACAAGATATACATTATAAATCAGAGAAGAAGTCATCATAACAGCTGACATTCGCCAGAATGCCTGAATGTCCAGATCCTCTCACCGCAGCTCAAACCATCCTCAAACATGGCAATAAGAATTATGTTTTTGGTGTTTTTCTGCCAAATTCTATTTTTATTACAAGGCTCTATTTTGTGCAAACGCCTTATGTTTTCTTTTTTTGGATCCCAGTTTCATAGACGTCCACATAGCATAGCATTATTTATTTTAATAAGCAGCCACTGCAGGCTCGTATTTAAATCTCAGCGATGGCGTGTAGATATTCAGTGAGTGTACAGAAGCATACAGTGATAGATTAAACCCATTCACATCGTGTCTTGTGTTCAGAATGAAATCACTGAGCTTGCATCACATTAACCTGAATGTACGCTAAACTCGAGCCAGTGTTTAACGTCTGTTATATTACACTGATCATGAACGGACTTAGTAATAGAGACGAGAACAATGTTAAGCATGGCACTAGAGATGTTTCTATTGAGATCTGTTGAGATGCTGTTTGTGAAGTATTTGCTCACTGCATGTATCTTTGTGGAGTTAAATCGTCCATTTCTCTGCTTAGGAACATCGTCATGTATCTGAGACTCATTGCTATGTGCTTGATCTGATGTTAGACATGATGATTCATCAATATATAAGATAGGGCTGTCACTATTGCCTGTGTATTGATTATTTTTACAGTTAGCAAAGCTTGAACAATAAAAAATTGACCTAACTGACCAATAACAAACCTTTTAAATATTAAAAATAAGCTCCCAGGACAAAAATTAGTCACCTTGCCTGTTTAATGTGGTAGTAACTTCAGGCTCCAGCAGATGGCGTTGCATGAGGATGATTGGGCTATAAATACCTGTGGAGTGTGCGACGGGATTCATAGATTGAGAAAAGGTGGTACAGTGCAGTGAATGTCTAGTTCTATGTGTGGAAAACGAGTCGCAAAGCAGATTTAATGATTGGCCAAAAGGAGTGATAGTATTTGGGCGCCAAAGGCCACAACATGAAGGAAGTAGATGAATTTGCAGGTGTATCGAAGCGTACGGTCATACGGGTCGACCAGCAGCGGCAGAAATCCCAATCTACAGGGAATTCTCCTCAGAGCTGTGGCCGAAAGACAAAAATGGCTTGTGGATAAAAATCACTTCACTTCCAGAGAAGAATTGGTTCTAGAGGTCGACGCAGGTTCTTCACAACCAGTTTCTGAAAGAACACTCCGCACACCATGAACATCTGGAGCAGAGCGGCACGCGAGAGGGCTTCGCTCGCTTCTGCTCACAGAGTTGCCCGGTTGCAGTGGACGAAGAGACACAAATACTGGACTGTTCTTGACTGGAAACGTGTTGTCTGGTCAGATGACTCTCTGTTTCTGCCTGTATGTGAGTGATGCTCAGCATCGTGTTCATCGTGGGCCTCAGGAAGCCTTCAATGAGGACTGTGTGCAGGTGTGGTTCAAGCTGGAGGAGCTCTGTGATGATCTGGGGGTGCTTTAATTACGCAGAAATGGGTCCTTTGGTTGAGGTTACAGGAGATTTGAACTACAGTGATTACATTGAGCTGCTGGACAACCAGGTTGTGCATTTTTATCTTACGGAGGAACATAACATTCCCTTCCCTGTATTCCAGTGCTCACATTCACAGTGCTGCAAATGTGACTGATTGGCATGATGAACGTTCAGGAGGGTACACACATCTGGACCGGCCCACAAAATCCCCAGATTTGAATCCTCCTGGAAATGTGTGAGACCACCTGGAACAGCGAGTAAGACGCCAGTAAAGGCATCCACGAATCTGGCCGAACTGCGAAATTCTTTGATGCAAGAGTGGCTGAACATTGATGTTGCCTACATCCAGAAACTCGTCCAGTCCAGGCCAAATCGAATCACAGCTGTTATTGGTGCTCGTGGGGGTATTACACACTATTAGGTACATTTCAGTCACAGGTAACTAACTTTTTGTCCGGTGATCTTATAAACTTAAAGAATTAAAGGGTCCATACTGCGAAATTTTCCTCACCTTTTGGAAATAAGTGTTTGATAAAGTATGCTAAATTTTAAGTACAATCCATACATGGAAACGAAGCTGCAAAAACAGCCTGTTTTGAATTCGTTGTTTTTGTGATGTCACAAAAACCAGCGCATTTACATATATCTGCTTACGGCCTACAGCAGTTTAGCTCCACCCATTCACACTGAAGCTATAAAGAGTGTTTCAGTGCGAGCTGCATTTTCAACACTGGGGGCAGCCAATCAGACCAGAGCTCATTTACATAGATCATCCTTAAAAGCACAGCCTGTTTAAATCTAAGGGAGAGGATGAAAATTGGGCATGTAAAGGTGAACTATGTCTGAATAAAGTTCGGGTTATGGGCTCTTTAAACAGCTTCATTAAACATACATGTGTAGCAAAAACATATCGCCGCTGTCGGAACAAAACCTTGTATCTCCATTTTTGATGTTTTTCAGTTTTTGACATAATTTGAAAATACCTGTTGTTGTTCTTTATGTTGTGCGTAAATTTAATGATGAATGGACCAAAAGAAACGACCCAAAATGACTTGGAAAAACATCTGGTTCCATTGACTTACATTAAAAGTAATATATATATATATATATATATATATATATATATATATATATCTATATATATCAGTATATGAGGCTCTGCTTAGTGTAAAAAGGAGCACTAGAATTTACATAATATGCAAACTTTCAACGAATCTCTAAAAAGTTCATTTTAAATCAATTTTAATCGATTAATTCAGCGGTAATCGAGTAATCGTGACAGCCCTACCTGCAGCAAAGTTGATCTCCTTTCTTTAAATTTAACTCAATCATTCATGCAACAGTTTTAAGCATGAATACTGGCAGCTATTATTGTAATAAGGGCATATATATTGTTGAGGTATTTGACTAAAGCACATTGAATTTTTTTTTTTTTAAATATTTATCTGAATTTTTCTACGATGTACAATAAATGTATGGACTAGAATCGGTCCTGTTCTGCTTGCAGTGTCAAAAATGGAACATTTTCTGTACATTTTCTGAAATAAAAGTCTGGACCGAAGTGTCTGTGATTAGGCTGTGCAGTGTTGTGCTCATTCTGTTCTGGTCATATGAGTGAAATTAGAAGGGGGAGATTGGAACAGGCTTAATTAATGACATGCTTGGCAAATTGGTTATTTACAGCCTCTGGCTTCATACAGGCTAAGACAGAGGAGTACATTAAGTGCTGTGTAATCGTGTGTGAATAATTCAGCGTCTCATTCAGGGTTTATATAGACGCAGCTCTGCTTCATACTGATTTTGTGAAGCAAGACTAAGAATGGTGCCTTTCACTGTATCCTCATTAGTATTATACACTAGATAAAATGTTACTAGTTTTGTTTTCTCCTCTGTAAATCATATTTTAATATTTTATAAGGTAAATTCTTATCATTAGAAGACACTTAAAGAGCTGTAAACCTCCACCCTGAGTAATCTGCAGGCCTGTGGAAGATGTGGCTGTTGTTTTTGTGTGCGTTATGCTTTGTGCTGGTTGTGGGAGCAGCTCTCTTTGTCCGGAAGACACTGTGGAAGGCCAGTATTTTCTCAGAGGATAGTTTGAGGCCTCCGGCTCCTCTGGTGACTGATGAAAAGCAGAGAGATGCGGTCCTGAAGAAAGGTAAGAAATGACAGACTGTTGTATTCAGTTTCAGTGAGAGGCATCTTGAATGTTCTAGAGGTTCTAGAGGGGCGAGTGGCTCAACCTGCCCACCCACAAGCACTATTAACGATTAATCTTTTACTGAATTGCAGCTTGTTTTTTATACAGTTAACCATTTAAAGGGGAATTCCACCAAATTTTCTACATAATTCAGTGGTTTAGATGTAAACAGAGAGATTCAGAGTGGTTTGGTGTGAAATGGTTCAGATGTCTTTACAGTGGTGGTGATGGGAATCAGGGGTCGCCATGACTACAACACAAATATAGACATTTTATTTACTATCCAGAACCACCAGTGAACCTACACGAGTCTTCTGAGTTTGTACGGAATGTTGATGATGGAAAATAGTGGAAAATCTGAAATAATAAGTTTTCTTTAGGAACTATTTTGCCTCACAGTGCCCTGCATGTATCCCTCCACCATGAATGGGTTTTTAACAATACACTTTAGGCCAAAATCTTCTCAAAACTTTTGTGATACAGTGTCTTAGATATCAGGCAGTGTATTCATGACCATTTCATATACAAACCCTGTTCCAAAAAAGATGGGACAGGAGACATTTAAGACTAGAAACTTTTTAAATGTTCAGAAAACATTTTAAAAGAGGTGAAACATTCGTGCTTGGACGCAATGATGCACCTTCAACCCCTCAAGCACTGCTTTAAAACCGGTACACTTCCGTGTTGCATATCACCACATGAGCTCAGGAATACCTTGGCAAACTGTTGTCAGTAAACAC